CAAAATTCAAAGGCATCTATATTTTCCTGGCCCACTTTTTATTGTTCAGCTTTCACATCTATAAGACCTCCTATCCTTGGTCTGCTGAGCGCCAATCTGTGTTGTATTTCTTGACTGCTGGATTCTTTGTTGTCAATAATTGTTCCAAGTGAGCAAAAGCTGTCCACCACTCCTACATCTTCTCCATCAATGGAAAAGTTTGCAGCTTTTCCAGTTGTCATAACATTTGTTTTCTTCATACTGAGCTGTAGTTTCATCTTTTCACTCTGTTCTGACATTTCTCTATAAGGCCTGTCATCCTCTTATCAAAGGTTATTGATGTTTCTTCCACCAGTCTTGCTTCTCTTACATGTTCAGTATACACGCCACATTTTCTGTATTTTTTGTTTATATTTGTATATACATGTATATCCTGTTGTCCACAACCATAAATCACATTGTCCAGATGCAGCTATCTTCTTATATTGAGTGAACAACCTCCTTGACACCAACCAGTTCAGATAAACCTTCACACACACGTTCTTCGGGGTACTTTCAGACATGGCCATCGGCAGCACTGCTCTAGCTTGTTTCTCATCTTATCTTCAGGATCGATGCAAGGTGGCCTGGAAAAGTTCTCTCTCAGTCCCCTACAGCCTCACTGCTGGAGTTCCCCAGGAGTTGGTTCTCAGCCCTCTTCTGTTCTTCTTGTTCACAAAATCACTGGGATCAGTGATAAGATCACTCTGTTGGCTTCTTTTATCACTGCTATGGTGTTGGCACCCAGCTGTACTTCTCACTTTCTTTACTCCAAGAAGATATCTGGCTGTATAAGACTTTGTGGATGGAGACCAAACAGACAAAACAGAGTTGGGGACAAAACAGAGTTGATCCACCCTGTAAAGCGCTGCCCAGCACTGGATGCCTCTGTCACCACTGACCAGTAATAAATGGCTTAAAACCTTGTGAGTGATTTTTGATGACAAGCTTTAAAAATTAACATTAAGTTGACTTCAAGTAACACTTGTATTAAATCCACTCGATCAGGCTATGATGGCCTCTAGGGCTGTATTAGATAAACTTCTTAAATCTGAAATCTTATTTGTTTAGTTAGGATGACAGAAGCTATTACAGAACAACAGTTCTTAAGTTCATAATCTTATCCATTAACTCCAGATAAGAAAACAGTATTACAGAAACAACCTAACTAGACAAAATTTCCTAAATACTGTCCTAACTTTGACAACCCCAGAGGTGTCTTAACTTCTGTTTTAACTGTCTATTTCTATTGTTTTGTGCAGTGACAGGCAGCATAGTTCACTATAACTAAATAATAACGTTGCAATTATCTACATTAAAAATGGTGCTTTGATTGAGTTTTTTTCTAACAGCGTTTTAAAATATCCCAGACACTGCAGACACGATTTTCACCATCCCCTCTTATTCCCTTCAGGTGTTAGTGTTGAGGAAAACTCGTCAGATAAAATATTACAGTGATGGTGGTGAATAATGAGGAGACAGAGCTGACCGTGTGTCTGTTTATTAACAGGAATAACTTTAGTGTGGACGGCTAAAGGGTTTGGGAAACTGAAACTGAAACTGGAGAGCAACGACACTTCGATGAACAACATGAAGCGCTGACACAATATTAATATCTTCAAGCTTATCATGCTTTAGTTTTGTTTGACCTATTTTACCTTAGTAACAGTATCTGTCTGGCTAACCAACATGATTATTTTGATTAGGTGTTTATGTTTCAGCTGTGCATGTATGGTCAGTTGCTAGGTGTCAGACATAACAGTTGATTGTTGACTTTGATCGAGTAAGCTAAGATTTCCTAACTTAAGATGCTGTAAGGTATAAAAAGATTCCTAAATTAAGATACGATTTGCTTCTGTAATATAAATTTGTGAAAAGTCTTATCTTGACCTGTCAAATCTTAAGCTAAGACAAAAGATAGGAAGTTTCTGTAATACAGCCTGTAATGTTTCCAACCTTAAACTGTTTTAAAAGCTTTTTTTGTTCCTTACAATGGCATATGCAAATAATATCTGCCTTTTATTTGTACCTCATCTAAAAAAGCAGTCTTATATGAAGTTTACAGAATGAACTGCTTTAGCTGAAATCAGACTATCTACAATAACAAAACTCTTTATCACTTCATCAGAACAACAATAAATGGGCTGTTTTGGAGTTTCATTTTTACTATTGTTATTTTAGTATCAGAGATGCAAATTTTTTGTTCTAGCAAGCCTGGACCTTTGATTTTTACAGAAGCAGCAGGGCTGCTGTGTAATTGGTTTCCAAAAGACGAATCATAGGTCAGTAGCAGTTGACAGAAGATTAGATATAAGACAATCCACTAACATAAGAAAGACAGGAGTCAAAAGAAAATAAGTGGAGAAAGTGTAAAAATATTAAAAGCTACAGAGAAAATGGGACAGCTAACATCTGTAAGAAGACAACTCAACACTGTGGGCTATAGGATTCTTGAAGCTACACATCCTTTCAGACTCATTAACACTGAATTGTCTTCTCACAGTGGAAGGATGGACAGAAACACCTGTGGATGTTTTCAGATCTGAAGCAGCTTGATTTTCTCCTCTCTCTCAAAGATGAAAGCTTTAAGTGCTGTTTATCTGATGGGGACAGTTTTGGTGTCTACCAGGTTTTACACGGTTGTGTTAGGAGTCCCATTTTCTCTATATGAGTGCACGAACTCCAGTTTTGGAAACTCCAAACTCCACAGGTGGGAACAAGTCATTAAGTTGCAGGTAACAAGTAAGTCTCAAGTCTTCACACTCAAGTCCCGAGTCAAGTCCCGAGTCAAGTCCCAAGTCAAGATAGTCGAGTCTCGATTCAAGCCCCAAGTCAGTACAGGCGAGTCTCAAGTTGAGTTCTAAGTCAATAATCCTAACCTTTGAGTCATAAACAAGTCAGTATGCATTTTTCAGCTAATTTAAGGCCATAATACTGAGTAACAGTAACAGTACTGTAAACTTTTATTGACAGCATGTTAGTAGTGTATGACTGTATATTATTTACACCAACCAGGCATCACATTATGACCATCTCCTTGTTTCTACGCTCATTGTCCATTTTATCAGCTCCACATACTATATAGGTGCACTTTGTAGTTCTACAATTACAGACTGTAGTCCTTCTGTTTCTCTTCATACTTACAGCCCCCTTTTACCTTGTTCTTCTGTGGTCAGGACCCCCATGGACCCTCACAGAAGTCTTTGACTTCTGCACAGTATCTTGATGGTTCAAACTCTTGATATATATCAGACTAGTCAGTGGGCCTATGAAACACAGCCGTAGGTGAGCGCCTAGAAGGCTGACAGGCAGTGGTACTGGCTGCTGGAGGAGATTAGCATATTGATAGCTTTATATTTGAGCAAGGACAGATTTATGCATGCGTCTGCGTTCTGTTTAGGAAATCTACAAGCAGTTCCCTCCCTTGGCTGCTGTTATATATGACTTGAGGCCAAGTTCTATATAGACATAGAACAACCAAGGCACTCCAGAAGTGTCTAAGTGAATTTATTGTGTGACATTTCTGTGTTGTCTTCAAGCCTCTTTGGGACTTTGGGACTAAGCAGACATGCTGCCACTTGATTTCCTATAAAGCTGAGAGAGGACTTTGGTATTTAGTGCCCTCCTTCAGATTTATAGCTGGAGCTCTAGATGTACAAGAAGCATGTTATAAAGCTCTAATTGGTTTGAGATCAAAACCTGACGTCTGAGGTGTCTTGAAGCATGTCGTTATTCTCAAAGAAATACATGTTTATGGCCTAATAATAGCCCAGAGCCTTCATATTTACTGCAGGAACTTACATGCAGCAAAACACAACACCACAGAGACGTGACAAGCTGTGATTTACCTGCCTTTGTCCTTCACACTAGGTGCGGGCAAACAACCTGACTGGCTTTCATCAACCCCACACAGAAACTGTCCAGACGTCAGCGCAGCTGGGAGTGGATGAAACAAACAGCAAATAAATTCTTTACAAACTAACAAAGGTCCAGAATAGGGATGCACCAATCCAACGGTTCTCCCCTCAGTACCGGTTTGTACTCTGAGTGCTCTAGTAAGGCACTCATTTAGTAGGTCATTATGTGTGTCCATGTGCTTTAATATCTTTATACAGGGACTCACAAGTTGCACAACCATCTAAGCATTGGCCCTATCCAATATTGGGGTAGTTGCTCAACAAAGGTAATCCATTACAAATTAGTACTTGCTTCTTTCAAACTGTACTGGGATTACTTTACGCATTACCTGCAGGAAAAAGGAATCTCAGTACTCCCAGCACTTCTAGGTTACTCTCTAAAACCCACAGAAATCTAGACCAAGAGGAAAATATGAGGGGAAACAGCAGGTAAACAGCTAACAGGTTGCCAGCTTGTGCAGGTGGGTTACCGCTTGCTAAGAGGGGTGGGCTTGGACAATTACTGGCTGCTTGTGGAAGCTGGCAGGCAACACAGAAGCTGCAAGTGTGTGACCATTATTTTTGCAGCTCAGAGTGTGGAGGTACAATTGGTCTGGAGGGTGTCCCACTGTGTTGTGTGGGCATGCTGCACAAAGGCCAAACGTTAATAGGCGCCCACAAGGACCACAGACCAAAGCAAAGCACGTGGGTGGGTGCGGGTGTGAAGGGTGGCTGAAGGGGGCAGGTGTGGGTGGGTACAGGCAGGACTGACAGTGGATTTTGTGGGCGCAGGCAGACGTAATATGTGGTCAAAAGATCTTTGAATAGAATACTTTTATAATAACGTAGATTTTAATTATCCTTGAAAGTTTAGAATTTAAAAAAATAATAATTTTATAACAACCATGAATAAGAAACAATATTTAATGTGGATTATTCTCCTCTGGCTGATATCTGACAAGGTTAAAAAGGTGCTGATACCGACCTGTGCAATGCATGGTTCATCTCTATTCCAGACATATAGCAGTGTCTGATCACTTGTGCTGCCAGATCAATAGACAAAAATAACAAAAAAACTACCACAACTTTATATTAAAAGATTTTTTTATTCACAATAGAAGTGTAACAAATATAGTTTATCAAAAAATTCTGCTGCTCATTAATATAATTTATTCCCTAAGATCATAAGATTTATATAAATGTTTAGTGGCAGTTTGCCAGAATGGAATATGTACATTATAATAACAAGAAAAAGAAAGAAAACACAAAACCAGACAGAACAATTTCCCACAAAATCAACTGCATGAAGAAAAATAAAATTACCCTATGTGCAAAGGAATGATTATCAGCAATATTGTACAGTTACTTTTCGAGGTTGAATCACAACAGAAGAACAAACAGATTCACAAATTAAAAAGGCATAATTACGCAAGATAGTCAACACAATGTTTCCACCACGATTCAATCAAAGATGAAAAAAAATAATAAATTGAGAAAACAAAAAACAAAGCAAAAAAAAACTGAACAGCACAATTTCTAATCTGCATATTGAAACAAGATGCAAGGAAACATCCGCCTCAGACTGTAACCTGCACCTGTGGCTTCTCAGGTATTCAGCCAACTCGCTACTTAGTGAGTTAGGCTAGCAAACTGCTCGTGGATGAAAGGCCTTGGTTTGGAGCAGCAGTGTTAAAATGTCAGTGAGATTTTCAAAATGAGTACAGTAAACTTCAATGTCTTATATACAGTGTCACAGTGTCAAATGAAGGGTTAGTCCAAGAGAAGTCAATTGCTTAGTCATAGTTTCTAACATGATCTTTTATTGATCTAGCAAGTCAGCAGTTTGGGACCATGTTTACTGTCCACTGTTGCAGAATAATTCAGAAAGCAGCACTAAAGCAGTTAGCGTTTAGAGTCATTATAACAGGGACTGGTTAGTTAGAAGGTCATTAGTTACAATCTTACAGCAGGTTTATGGTGACAGCTCCCCTTTGGTCTTCATGTTAAAGAACTATACAAAGAACCTGCTGCTCTTTGGATCCAGCTCAATATTAGTTCTGCTCTATTCCAGTACTAAACGTATGGTAGGAGGGTTCTTGGGAATAGTATGGATCTTGACCCTGGCTTTACACTGTGAAACATCCATCCATCTTAGTTATATGAAGCAAGTTGAATTTAACACATTCATTTATTCCACTAGTTAGCAAGATCAGCAATCTTCTGCAATGTTTCATTTAGCTTACAAATTGCTGCTGTTGGAACAAAACCTCATCACCATTTTTGTCCATTTTTCAGTTTTTTTTTTCCTCCGTCTTTCAGTTTTTGACAATTTCAAAGTACCTGTTTTTCTTTACATTTTGTCAAAATTTCATGATGAATGGCCCAAAATTACTGGGAAAAATGTCTGGTTCCATTGACTTACATTAAAAGTTAAGTATGTTTTTTCCGTCTCCTGTAAAGTTACCATTTTGGAGATACAAGGTTTTGTTCCGACAGCAGTGATATGCATCCTAATATGTGTTTCTGTTAAGAGAGGAGAAAATTTATAACCTAGTTACATAAATCACGATACAGCACATTAACAAAGCAAAACAAATGCTGCCAAAAGTACCCATTCAAACAGCTTTTAGCATTATTTAGCAAGCTAACTAGCTACTTAATAGCAAATAAGCAACATTATTGTAATAGCTGAACCTACTGTCTTAATCAATAGGTAAAAATGATGTTTAACCTAATCATGTGCTATTTTCTGTGCACTGAATGGCTGTTTTATGAAACACTGCCTACAAAGTTTAGATTTTTGAGCTTCCAAATGAGCTGCAACATGCTTTACATAATGCAACATATCATGTAGGATTCAAGGAAATAAAGTCACGCGAACGTTCACCATGTAAAGCCAGCCTAAGAGCGCAGTATGCAGCAGTCTTGCACAGGGGCAGACAGACCACACTGAACCAGAGCTCCAGCTGATCTGTCCCACTAAAACTCTAATCTCTTGAGTGATCATCAAGTATTTGGGGTTTGGTCCTAACCTCCATATATTTGATATATACGCATTAAGAGTCAGTTTCCTGGACAGAAATTAAGCCACAACTTTACACAGCATTCTAAATGGAGATTCTCCATTACAAGGAAAATATAATTTAGAACTAGGCTGGTCTCATGGGGCCAGGCATGTTCTCATAACGAGAACAACTGGGGACAAACATGAGAAATTCTGGGCTTAATGTCGGTGGGAATGTAGATCTATTAGTGGAAACAAACTGAGCTTGAAATTTCGAAACCAACCTAAGTTGGAGCTCAAAGTAGTCACCAACATTATCTGACTGACAACAAACCTGTCGTCAGTCCAGGGATGCAACGTAAAGTAAGCATAACTGAAAAGTCCCAAAACTCCAATTAAGCGTGTAGTACAGGTGCAGAGAACACGTTACACATGGTTAAAAATATGAATTCTCACACAAAAGAAGATTAGCTTAGATTATTGTTTTGTCAATGGTACTCCATACTTGTTATGGACTACAGGAATTTGGGGTCAGGTATTGAGGCAGATTTTGCTGCAATCAAGCGCCACGAGTTCAGTAAACTGTCCAAAAAAAGTGTTCTTATTACGAGATCACATCTGGTCCCACAAGACCAAGACTAAGCTTAATCTCTGTCAGGGAAACGGATCACAAGGGCTAGTTTTCCAGACCCAGATTAAGCCTAGTCTTTACTAAAAAGGAATTCCAGTGAAGATTCATCATTAGCACTGTAATTTAGTTCAAGACTAAGCTTAATCTATGTCTAGGACACCGGCCCTAAAGGTGGATGGCCAACATGAGGCTGTTCCCAGTACTTTTTTCAAATGGTATGTATGAATGTGGGCAGGTATGTTTTATCCAGTGTAGTATACAGTTCTGTGTGTTTGCCTCTGCTTTCCTTGCATCTTTGCATCGTGATTCCTTACTTGTGCTTTCTCTGTTCTATACCAGTAGGTTTCACCCAGTTCCTTTGTCCAGCTTTTTCTCCCCCAGAGGTTTGTGCTTTCACTAAGAAAGAAACATTAAAGCAAACAAAGATAAGAACATACCTAGGCAATGTAATGTTCACTTCACATTTGGTGGTACATTCATACATAATAGTTCACTCTATTTGACTGATAACTGCCCTTGTCTTGTCTTCCTGACTCTTTCCCACTGGATTATGATTTCTTTAGATAAGACAGTTACTTCATCAGTGTGCCAACTAGATCCAAGAAACACCCTGGCACTGAAAGAAAAACCTTTCTAAGTCACAAGTAATAAATTAACACAAAGTATCATATTTTACATATCAAGGACGCAAAGTCTCTCCAACACCTGATTAAGTAAACAATCAACAAATGTATACATCTAGTCTGTGTAATTGGAACGCAAGAAGTCGACTGGTTGGGGGGGGAGGAAGCACTGAATTACGCAGTAGGATATGATGTTGTACCAGATTAATTACTACTGTCCACACCAGTCTTATTCCAGTATGAGCTGTAAATTTGTCTTTCCTTGGACCCCCAACTCCAACTCCAGTGTAGGAAAGCTTCGAACCAGGAATGAATGAGGGAAAATGAGATGGGTCAAAAAAATAACAAAACAAAAACAAAAAAAAAAGTCAATTGAGGGCTGAGCCGAAGCTGATAAAATCTTTGCCAGTTAAACATCTGCCCACTTTACATACCAGGACCATTAGTCAATAAGCTAAAAAAGGCACTAGTTAACTCCACATCACTACCTTGCAGCTGTGACTCAGAGAAAAGGAAAACAAAAAAAGCTGCTATATATGAATTTTCGGACTGATTCAACTAATAAATCAAACAGTTGCAAGGTGAGTGGATTTCTTAAATAAAATGTTTCAACAAACGCACACAACTTTAAAACAAACACATGATAGCTGTTGACTGCAGTATGGCTTTTTTTTGTCCCCGAAGTGTGTATGAGAGTTTAGACGGTTGAGTGGAAATCATCTGTTCTCCTCATAGAGGAGAGAAGAAGGTCCTTTGGGCCTCAGAGGCTCAGAGAGAGGTCCAAAATGATGAAGTCAAAGGTCAGGGAAGGGGCAGCATGCAGACTGCTATCTCTAATAATGGCGCAGAGGACACTGAGCCATGGGCCAGGAAGCCCCAGCTGATGGTTGCCCAGCATCGGTCAAAGCCCTGGAGAAGAGGCCAGAGGGTGTCCACAGAACAGGCCAGTGCTCGGGGAGGCCTGCAGGGCTTTGGGGGAAAGGTCAGGGCTACTACAGCTGGTTAGACCGATCAGCACTCTCTCGCTTTATCACAGGCAGCGGGTGAGCCTCAGTGTTGAAGACCCAGTGCTCAAACGACAAGTGGTCATCGTCCGAGAACAGCAGGTACAGATACCTGAGGGAAAAACAGAATCGGTTAATCCGGTTGGTGCTAATGAAGTATAGGGAAAGGTGCTTATGCAGGTGGTATTGTGTTCTGCACTTATGTACTGATGCCTTGCAGTGTGCAGTGTGTGTATATTTAAACATGCACTTTGTGTATGGTGATACAACGCTAAAATGTGACAATGTGCATCATGGAGATATCAGCTGCTTAGCCATCTAATACATTAGCATCAACACCATATGATAAACTTAACCCAGATCAGCTCACTCGACATCACATAATCAACTTAACGCACACCAGCCCATTCAACATCATATAATCAACTTAACACCAGCCCATTCAACATCATATAATCAACTTAACACCAGCCCATTCAACATCATATAATCAACTTAACACCAGCCTATTCAACATCACATGACCAACTTAACCTACACCAGCCCATTCAACATCATATAATCAACTTAACACCAGCCCATTCAACATCATATAATCAACTTAGCACCAGCCCATTCAACATCATATAATCAACTTAACACCAGCCCATTCAACACCATATAATCAACTTAACACCAGCCCATTCAACATCACATGATCAACCCGCACCAGTACATTTAACATCACATGATCAACCCCTGTTTATCTCTTTCTATCTTATCTGTCTCTCTATGCATCTATCTCTGTATGCCTGTCTCGCTACGCATCCGTTTCTCCATCTATCTGTCTGTCCATCTCCCTGACTGTCAATCTATCTGTGAGTCAGTGAATAAAATCAAAAACATATTTCTTCCTTTTTTAATTTTTAGGGAAAACTAAATATTTTTTTAGTAAACTTTGAGTAAACCCCACACCTTGCTTGCTGATAAAACCAGCAGGATCCATTCTCTGCGGATCACAGACAGTGAAGTGATATGAGGGTAAACAAAAATATTTCAGTGTTACTGTGTTCAGGGTCAGTGAACACAGTCCAGTGAAAAAAGAAATAAATCTACTTCAAGTTCCAAATAATAAAAGAAAAAGTAAACAAAAACAAAAAACATTCGATCCATCCCTTTTTCTACCAACATGCTCTCAGCCAACCAACAAACTCTGCCACAACAGCACTGCAAATCAAGCAGCTGAATAAACATCTCAGAAGTTCTAAACAATTTGTATCCTTTGGCTGACAACAGCGTGCCATGTTTATAGGGGCCCAGGGCCGTCACCTGATGAAGTGAGGCTTTAGAAGCAGGACTCACAAATCAAATGTTGATTCGAAAGCAGGCAGCTGTGAGACACTGGGTAAATTTACAGTGTATAAACGGAGGGACCAGCACACATTTGACCTTCCAGATGCAACTCCTGGGCTGTTTGTATTCCTCTCTCCGTTTCCATGTTCCTCTTCCCCTCTTTCCCCCACTCCCTCATTCTCTCCCTCTCTCTCCCTGTGGGAATGGTGTGGACCTGCAGTAGTAGGCGGGCGGTGGAGATGAAAGTGTGTGTCTGATCATCCTGCTGGGTCTATGAGCTTTCTCTCAGCAGGAACCTGTTAACCTCGACTCCTCACTGGGCCCAGAGTCCAACACAGCAGCCTTGCTCACACTACACCACAACACAGCGCTCAAGGATCGATTTGACGAGGTGTGCAAGGGCACGTCATCCCCCAGTAAAGAGGTGGGAAAAAAAACCCTAAAACTGCTACTCCCCCATTTCCATCCCCTTTAGACTAATAATGTAATACGAATAGCTATAAAGTACACCAGCAATTTCAGCCTTTGAGAACAATGTAAAGCTCACCTCACCTTTACCCCTTTATTTTGAAGGCTTTTTTTATTCTATTGTATCACTGTTATGGCTTTATCATTTTATTAATTTTGTCATTGTCACAGCATGCTTTTAAAAATTTGATCATTTGAAAATAAAAACTACATACGACAAACCGATATTATAATCAATTAACATATGATCAATGCAGTCACTATGTATATCTGTTGATCTATCCATTTATCTGTGTTTAACCCTGACAGTCTGTCTGAGTGTCACTCCATCCAACCATCCATCCATCAATCTATTCATCCATCCATCCATCCATCCATCCATCCATCAATCAATCTATTCATTCATCAATCTATTCATCCATCCATCCATCCATCCATCCATCAATCTATTCATCCATCCATCATCCATTCATTCATCCACTTCTTCCTCTTGGGCTATAGTCAGTGAAAATCTTCTCCAAAAAACAAAAAAAGCTGTAATGTCTTTATTGTACTACTGGGTAAAGAGTTGCTCCAGCGACTGTATATATAGTCATCTGTGTATTTAGTTTATTTTTAAAAGTGAATTCTAAATTATACCAAAACAGTCAATTCAAATCATGCTGAAACAAAGGTTTATCGTTTTAAAATGGTAATAATAGAGATAAATCAAATCTTTGTGAGGTCAGAGATTTACCTCTTTTATTTACTATTCTAAAACAGTAAACTTTTGTTACTATGAACCTGCAGACTCGTCCTAGTGTGCTGCAGCTGGAGGGCTTTCTGCTTTCCACCTCTGGCAGCAGTGCGCCAGCAGGTGAGTGTAGACAGATAATGGAAGGTGAAGTGCAGGCTGCTAACGAGAGTGAGCAGATTTAGTGCTTTAATTAGTGATGCAGATAACAGCAGCGTTTTTCATTCTCACTGCTCTCTCTGATTCTGAAATGAAGCTGCTAAGCTCTTTATTAGATGGGGACAGATATGAGTCATGAAGCTGAATTCTCTGTGTTCAGCTCCCTTTGTAACTTCTGAAAGGGCTTCAGACAGGAAACACAGTGAAGAAGAGAGAGGTGGGCCATGGTGGACTGAGCTTTGTATGGTGCTGCGGCTGTGGTGTGTGAGATACTGTGGTTACCGCACTCAGTCAGGAACTCAAACACATCAGGAGCATCTCTCCCAGCCAACAGAACTCACACACCCACCAATCAGACACACACTCGCTCTACAGACGGATCATTACAGCACTGTGAGTGATTTTAGACATGAGCTGTTCAGAAAAATGAATGAAAGCTTTTCTGTTTCTTTTTGTAAATGTTAAGGATAGAAATCACTCCTGTAGGCCAAAAGCCTGCAGCTGCAGTGCTGCAGACGTGCGGACATGCAGCTGTGTGCTATGAGAGGAGATGCTGGCCTGGGGATTCTATTGTTATTAGCCTGCAGAGGAGAGGACAGTCGTGAGATGGTAAAAGACACACAGTGTCACAGTGTAGAGCAGCATATTAGCTCAGTGTGAGTGGAGCAAAGTACTGCTCAGTTAACACTGCTAACAGCAGCACTTCTCTTTTTCACTCTTTACCCAACCAGCAAAGACACACACACACACACACACACACACACACACACGCTACAGGGGCACAGCAATGGGGGGCCTGAGGAAGCCTAGGGCTCTTCACTTGGAAGTCAGGCCCCACCAGAATTCTCACTGTTTAAAATGGAACAAGGACACAGTGTCACTGATACGAAGCACCATTCTTATGAAGCATCAAAAGCTACGTGAGTGTTAAAAGCGCCCCCTTGTGGAGAACTTTCTTCACTGAGTGAGCGAAGTGAATGAAGTGAGTGATGGCCAAAACTCTTCTCTGATTATCACCAGAGTTGCAAGTATCAAATATTATATCGAATAGTATAGTATTTCAAATATTCTAAAATTCTGTAAGAATAAGTAATGCTCTAGATATGTGTTTATCCTGGCCAATCAGACAACCCTGACAAAGTAGCTGAGACTGTCTGAACTACTGATGGACATTGCAGCTCTTTTTACTGAGTTGGATCAACTGGCTTAGCTCCGCAATAAGAGCTGACTCTTTTGGTATTTAGTAGCACTAGTCCTAGGATTTTCAGCTACAGCACCTTAAGATCTACATATTAGTGTTGACTTCATTAAAAAAATAAATAAATACAAGTCAGTGATGAGCGGTGCAGGAGAACAGAGGAAACCGAGTCTTTTTCACCACATAGTCTGTGTGTGGTCATGTCAGTGGACTAGGGGGTGACCATATTTTAGATTCAATATGACCAAGTTTTTCAAGCCGCTCACCTAACTCACTTAAACTTCTTATTTCAGGCTGCACCAGGCAATTGAAATCAACATTATCACCATAAATTCAAGCTCTAACACAGAAAGTTAAGAAACGAAAGATTATCTTGCTCTCTTTAGATGTGCTGCTACTGCATGCTAATGGTGACTCATTAGCATTTAGCTTCATAAAGAAAACAGTCAGTGTGTTTACATGCACTTAATAATCCAATCATAATCAGATTTCTATAATTATCAGCTTATTCAAACGGTCATGTAAACAGCATATTCTAATTTCTTAGATTGGAGTAAGGTCTAGAAAAACCAATTAAGAAATCTGATAAAGACAGTAGGATTTTAGCTCAGTAATCGGATTTCTCAGTGCATGTAAACTCTTACTTGGATTTCTTTTGGATTCCTCAGTCTGAGGATGAGCGAAAACAGACCGTGGTGCCATTAAACATCTGTAAGATGGCAACAAAACACTTTTGGAGCAATGTTAAAAAAACAGCTACATGTATGACAAATTGAAGGATTTAAATATTCTTCATCTTCTAGATGATGTATGTTCATATTTTCAGGTAGTGGCATAATACATGAAGTTTGATTTTTACATTATGTTTACATCATGTCTACTTCTGGAAGTTCATTGGCTGGTTGCAAAGCAGAGATCTCATTATTGTCTGACTCATGCAAACCCAGAGTTTTCCCATTATCTGATTACCCAAGCGCATGTAAACGCGTTAATCAACTGACAAAATCTGATTTTCTGCTGATTTTGTGCTTGTAAACACACTCACCGTTTCCTGTCGGACTGATGAGAACTGATGAACTAAAGCATGTGCTTGTTTAATGAAAGTGAAAGTCCTAGTTATTCAAAGTGCTTTTCTACTTTCTAAACTTTATTGAATTTATTCAAATTGTCCAATTTTCAAATATTTGTTGGAGCCCTATGGCAATGTTTACATTGGAGGCTGTCATCAGTTGTGGCAAGTTACAGTTATAAACCAACTATGCAACAAGGCATGGAACGATGTAAACACAGCATTAACCTGCTGTAATGTTTCTGCAGATTGTGGAAACTTAGCTGAGCTGTGCTCGTTCCTAGAGAAGCCTTCCTAGTTGGTAATCTAGTGAGCTGGGCAACTAGTAAAGCATTCGCCCAGACATCTACAATAATGCTGTAAAGTCTAGTTACTTCTCCTTGAGTTGAATGCAGCTGAATGCTGGGTCAGTAACTGTGTGTTGATGTAGGCACGTTGATGATGTAGGCACGTTGGCTAACTGGTGGTTGTCAGCTTCACCACAGTGATGTCTCTGCGATGCAAAGCTTCCTGTCTGGGCCTCCTAACCTCTAACCTCTCAAATATACAGATGTATACATGCATTCAACTATGTTCCCATCCACTAGAGCACAACCAAATAATGTATGAACTCTCTCTCTCACACTCTCAAGTGTTGAAAAAGAGAAGAATTCGGTGTTAAATGCAGTTCACTGACTAAAAGAGGAACTAAACATTATGTAAATGGTCTAAAAGAGCTAAATAAATAAGCTAGACAGAAATAATGAAAGCACAGAGCTGCAACAGAGTAATTAAACTGTACAGATGAGCAGTAGCTTCTACCTGAGCCCAGTGACTGTCAACCAAAACTAAGGTTTCTCAGAGGAAAAAGCAACAAAGGTGTGTGTTCACTCATGCTGTGCTGTGCTCTGCATGCAGCCAATTCCACAAACCGCAGGAGCTCTACATTTCACAAGCGCCAGAAACAAGTGGATATTGTCTGTTGTCAGTGAGGACTGAGAAGGTCTACACAACATGGATTTTAATATTCTAAATCCTTAAGGTCAGTCTTTTACAGAATTCCGTTTTGCCTTGAGGATGCGCACACTAGACAATAAGGCAAAAAAGAGAATACAGTGGTATGCAAAAATGTTGGGCATCCCTGGTCTATTGCCTTTTGTTAATTTTCTAAGTGAAAATAAGTAAATGTGGCCTGTGCAAACATTACAGCATATTTAATAGCTTGTTTTCTTTTTATCAATATGTTAAACTCAGCAAATAAATAGAAATTGTGCATTAAAAGTCTCAGGAATTGTTCACATTTAAGTTCCTTGAGAAGAATGTGTTAACTATTACATAGAAAATGATCAAAACGTCAATTTGATGACTTTGAACACAAATCACTACTTTCTGCTACGAAAAAGCACTCAAAATCCCAACTCTCCCCACCATCATGTAACACAAAAAAGGCGAAACTGGACTGGAACCTGTTTGTTCTTTTATGCATCTAGTGACGAACACGCAGTTGGGTTGTATTGTATCTCATCAGGATCGGGCCCTAGCAGCCATCAGATAATCACTAAACAAAATAAAACAGTGGAAAGTCTCATCAGCTATCCAAAATGAAGTTTCAATGTGTCAGGCTCATAAATGGATCTCTTTAAACAGGCTTGAAAATATCAAAAAGGCATCAGATCACTCCTGATTAGATACGAGGGCTAAAGATTCACTCATTCTCACTCTCTTGCTGCCAGATTGTCTGTGCTGTCAGTCGCTTCTGATCAAGCGCCAATCCTGGAAAATTCTCTTCAGACCGTGAAAATTTGTCGAAAGGAGCAAATCGAGGTTAAGATCAGGCTATAAATTTTGTAGTACAGGCCCAGCTGAAAATAGCCATGCAGCTTAGCAGGGGAGATAAGAACTTGGCTTGGATTTCAGGCACACGGCAAGTTATGAACAGTTAAAAAAGACAAACAGATTGGGAGGCAAAACAAACACAGCGAATCCTCAGACTGCTCACTGTGGATGTGTGTGGCGTTTACTATGTGTGACTTACTTCAGAGTCTCAGCCAAGTAGAAGCTCTGCTGGACGTCGTCATGGCTGGGGCCGCTGGCGTAAACATCTCGGACTCCACTGTAGCCGCCCTCCACCCTACAGTGCTGTTCCAGAGCCTGGAACACAGAAACTTTAATATTATGATCTGAACACAATGCAGCTAAAAAATCCTGCCAGAACAAAACTGCCCTTAAGTTAGCTCATAGCATAATGACACTTACAGCTGTGTTCAAAGTACTGACGTTTGTCGAAACAGGCCTTAATACAGTCATAGATGTATCAGTGCTTCTCAAAATACTTTTACACCTGTTCTCTTATACATACATACATACATACATACATATGTGTGTATATTATATATATATATATATATATATATATATATATATATATATATATATATATATATATATATAAAACTCAAATGTTAGTGCACTTTACCTCTTCGGGCTGTAAATCATTGATCTCAGTGATTCTGCATTAAGGATGTAAATGCCATTAACTGACAAATAAACAATTGGTTAACTAATTGAAACTGATTTATTGGAAATTAAGTTTTATTTAATTCCAACAAATAACAGTGCAATTTTGAATAAGCAGATTTGTCATTTAAGTAGCAGTACATTTTTGAATTGTATACATGAAGGTGCAAAAGGCAACTGGTTCTGCTAGGTCAGCCTACTAAAAATGAAAGAAATTAGTGGCTTTTCTGGAGCACTTTTCAAGAGCATGATAGCCCAATACTGTACCATGTTGAAGGCAAATGTCGGCAAGCTAGACAACAAGATAGATGACTATATCGTCCATGTTCTCAGGGATGAAGTGAGTGACAGGGTGACGACTTTCGAGATCTACTGAGGTATGCTGAGCTAAAACTAGCCCAGTCATGGCATTTATGTTGTGTTTTAATTTGTGCCAGTAATAAATGATAAATATTACTTCAGAACTTTAGAATGCAGAACTTTCAGTAGTGCATCATTGTATATACCAAATTCTACTGATAGGTGCGCTCCTTTGCGTCCTTTATTTTAGGCTTGCTGATTAGGATTAATCTAAGCTTAATGACAGTCTTTAGGAAATAACTGGATGTGTCACAAAAATTGATTAAACTACTTTGATACTTTTTTGGATTATTTTTACATGTGAAAATAGCCTGAAAATTAGGAGCATACTTCACTGAATATACTTTTAGTTGGTTATAATTGGTTGTATATACACTTAACTGGTTAATTCTAGTATTCAAAAATAGACGCAGTTGAAATCACCACCTTCAGATCAATGCATTTTCGGTTCGCTTAATAACCATTCATACACACAGGGGCTATTCAGAGTCAACTCCACATGAGAGGAAATAAGGCAGAAGATAATTAACTGAGTGAAGAGGAGAGAGGGCAGGAGGGGGAGAGAGAGAAGTGGAAGTAAAGGAGAGAAATGTTGAACTGGGGAACAATTCCATCATTCAAACACAGAGATGAGCCAGCATATTTTACACACACAGAGAGAGAGAGAGAGAGAGAGAGAGAGAGAGAGAGAGAGAGAGAGGAGAATGGGGAAGAAAGGGGAAGAGAGTGGAGGACAGAGAAAGGTGAGCATAGGGAAAGAAAAAGGGGAAGAGAAAAAAGGTAAATGAAGAAGGAGAAAATGGGAGACGGAGAAAGTGGGAAGTGGAAGAGGAGGACTGGAGAAAAAAAAGAAGAGAGGAAGAGAAGGGGAAGAAAGAACAGGAGGAAGAGAGAGAGAGGGAGAGGGAGAGAGATACAGAAGGTACATGAGGTGGGTGAATTATAGCTCCTACAGCAGTGAGGGTACTGGAGGCAATCTCATGTCATTACTACACAATTACACGCCTGCAAAATCCTGCCAATCTGCATCCAATAGAGCCCTGCTGTACTGGAGGCCAGAGCAGAACCACGAGAGGAGCACACACTCTGCCTCCAGCACCCTCATCTGTCCGCCACACACACACATATCTATATTGGCGTTAAAGGGCCATGTGAGGACTACACATCAGAATCTCAATCTCATTCATGTTCTGGTCATAGATATGACATGTTAATCAGTCAGCACCCCATAATGCCAGTGGCAACATTTTATGGTATAGCATGACCTTCAGTGTATTACTGCACCTATCCCACTGTTTCATTGTTGATATTTATCAGTTTTTTATAACATTTATTTATTCTAAGATTATGATGATACAAAAACTGATTAACCAAGTTTATTGAAACTGTGAAAATCCATATGCTAGTGTAGCATGCGCCCGTCCCCTGGGCCCTCGTGACGGCTGCGAAAGTGCAGGGCCGGTGAAAGAGGCAGAGCAACAAGCTTTATTTACCTCTTGGCTCAGGTGCTCCTTTAAAAAGAGCAGAGAGAGAGACAGACAGAGAGAGAAAGAGAGAGAGAGGGACGAGCAGCACTAGTAGCAACAGACTGATGAGCTGACTGAAAAGTCTCAATTTGAAGCCACGGAAAAGCGGCCGCTTTGATTTGGTGAGAATTTGTGTTTGTTTGGTGTGAAAAATAAAGAGAAATGGCTGCTGCAACCTTCAACCCTGCCTACAGCGTCTTTCCTGAGCCCGGGGCAGCACAGGGCGTGCTATGGCAAGCAATTTTAATGTCTAGTACTTTCACTGTAAACAGCTGTAGAGTAAGGGTCATACTGCTCTCTTTCCTCCACGTCATGGATTAGTTTATCCTCATCCGTTTTTGTCTAGCTCTGATGAAAGACCACAGGCTCAAACATAGTATTTGTCGAGGGGGAACATCAGTGCAACAGGGCAAAAGAGGGGTGGTAGCCTAGGAATAGGAGAGGCAAGCCAGCAACCCAAAGGTTGTGAGCTCAAATCCCAGGACCTGAAAATTCCTGGTCGTGCCCTAGGGCAAGGTACTTAGCATGTCCTGTGTTTTGTTAACACATGTCCTGTGTTTTGCTTTGTTAATTATGAAGGGATCAATCTGGTTTTATTGTTGGTACCTACTTGGTTCTCTTGTTAAGACAAGACGCTATTTGTTATAGTTTTTTTTTTTTTCTTAATTTATAGTAGTTTCTTACTTTGGTCAATGGGTGGTTGTCATTGCTAGGTTAAAAGCCAATAAGGCAGAGTGATTCTTAAAAAGCCAATAAGGCAGAGTGATTCTTAAAAAGCCGATAAGGCAGAGTGATTCTTAAAAAGCCAAAAAGGCGGAGTGATTCCTCAACAGATTTGTTTAGAGTGCTATTATGGGTAGACACTGACACTCACAGATCGCCTCTCAGCCAATCACACTGCAAGGTTGGTACAAACTGTGGTAAAATGTAAGTTAATGTTGCTGTAATCTCACCTGTACGGCCTCCCAGCCCCACTGCCTGTATTTGGGGTCATGAGTGAACCTCCACATGTACATGTAGGTCTCTATGACCTCAGGCCGCAGGATGAAGTATTTTTCGTTCTGCCGTGTAGCGATGGCTTCCACGCCCCCGTCAAACCTGAAAGCCTCAGGACCAAGCTTCAAATCTGAAAACAGACAAATACAAACACTTTAGCACCACATATCTGGTCTTTAAATCTAAGATCTCTCATTTGAAAAACCTGGCCAACACATTTAGTCCTTTAGGAGAAATTACAGCAGATCAGGGCGAGGAAACTAAATGAAAAACAGAAACAATTCAGAATTTCAGATTTTTCTCTCATGCACACACTTATCACTAGAAAGGTAGAAAATAAGTAAAAGTTGGGGAAAAGGCTTTGAAAGCCAAACAGTAAAACTCTGGAGATTGTTCAGATGACAGATAAAATCTAAATTGGACTTTTTAGACAGGGCACATGCATTCATTTTCAAAAGCTACACTCTGTGATTTTGACATCTTTTGTGCACTAGCATTGCCTTCACCACTAATTCACTACAGCACTAACTAGGGTTATTAAGCAAAAAATAGGCTTTTATCCTCTTCATCACTTCAACAGTAATGGTATTCTTTCGAGTACAATTGAAACCTGTGCAAATTTTAATTACAGGAGCCGTTTCACACAGTTAATTATTCCCTTGCCCGCTTTTGACAGTCCAGCAAAGATCTAACTGACCATAAATGAAGACAGGCACAAAAAAGTCCCAGTTGCTAGTCTGCGCTTTAACAAAGTGAGTATGCTTTCTAGAAAAAGGTTCTGTTGATGAAACTGAGCATCAAATGATCACGATGCTGATAAAAGTAGTCCACAACAACAGCATTTTCAAAAATCTCTCTGTTCAAGTTAGAACACAAAAACTGTTTGAAAAAGTTCACATGAATCTGCTAACCCTGAGGGAGGAGATTTCAAGCATATGCATTGCACAAAATATGGACTGCAAACTTGTGACAGTCAACACAAAGGAAAATGAATAACAAAAACAAGAATGATTCATACATGGGGACTGATGGTGTAATGCTGAAGTAAAGCTAAAGTAAATATGTAATCATACCTGCACACCTGTCATCAGCCATGTCAGACACTTCAAACTGGCTCAACACAGCAAACCGGCAATGACTGCATGAAAACTGACTGTGGGATGTCAGCATTTTTGAAAAGCTACAGTACTGTGCAAAAGCCAGTGAGCACCTTCATTTAATTATTTTCTAGCAAAAACAGCTTTAAGTTCTTCATTTTTCAAAAGATATTTTTAAAAGGTATAGTTATAAGACCATCCACTTGCATAAGGTAGATAAAAGTCAAAAGGAAATGAGCGGTTTCCAAAACTGGAGTTTAAAAAATGATTAAAAGGTACAGAGAAAATGGCCTCTTAACAACCGTGTGAGATCTGTTACCACCTAAACTGTCCCCATCAGATAAACTGCACTTAAAGCTTTCATCTTTCAGAGAGAGGAGAAAATCAAGCATCAGATCTGAAAACATCCACAGGTGTTTCTGTCCATCCTTCCACTGTGAGAAGACAACTATGAGCTATGAGCCTAAAAGGATGTGCAGCTGCCAAGAATCCCAAGTCTACCAAGTGAAACATTGTTAGAGCCTCATTTTCTTTAACTTTCACCTTTCTTGTGCAAGTGGATTATATAATGTGTAATCTCCTCAGAAATATCTCCTGAAAAACGAATAACTTGTATTAATTTTTCTGGAGATATTGGTTTTTTCAGGAAAACAAATAAATCACAGGTGGTCTATGACTTTTGCATATGGTTGCGTATGGTTGTATATGGTTGTTTAAAGCAGTGGTTCTCAGTGACCCCCAAGCGGTCCAGAAATTTGATCTATCACTGCATGTTGCAAGTTAAGTTGGAGCAAAAAATCTAGACCATCTGGTGGTCCCTGAGGACCATTTTGAGAACCACTTGTTTTAAGTATCTTTTTTAAAAAAAAATCCATATAGCATCAAAAAGGGTTCTACTATTGTTCTCGACTGAGCTTTTTTGGTACTATATACACGCCCTTTTGCTAAAAGAGCACCAGCAGTCAACTGACCCAGGTTCACTAGGAAGTAGACTGAGTTTTGGTAGACCACAGCACACCAAGTATAAGGGCAGTGTTTACAACTGTCAAAATGGACTGAACTTGAAAAGATTGGTCTGCACCAAACTAGGTAGGCATGAAAGCACCCTTAGTTTCAATCACGGTCCAGCACAGCACTGAGACTCAGACAGATACAAAAGGAGAGATTAACCTCTCTTTTGGTTCTATTTGTTCATAAGGGAATGATAAAACAATGCCAGATTACTGGAGGATTAGGTGCGTCACCTCAGTTGTGCGTCAGTGATGTTGGTTTGGATAAGAACAGCGTGGCATAACAAATAATAAAAGAAAAGAATAGGATAAAGCTGTGTGTGTTTGAGTACAGTCCTGCTTTGTATACGCGTGTGGGTGTGTATACTTGGGTCCAGAGAGTCACAGGGGGAGTCTGGGGGATTTGTGTGAGTGTGTAGAGGGTTAACAGCAGTGGATTTGAGGATAATCTAGCATTAGATGGAGGCTGCAGTGTTGATAGTACAGACAGCCACGTCGCCACACTGCAGACAGCATGCACTGCTGCTGACCTTTCAGAGCAGAACACAGTCGGGCCATGGCGCTCAGTGTGAAGCTCTTTATCTCACAGCGCTGTCACACAGCCAGCTATTGATCTGTTAGCTCCCACCACCAGCTCCGTACTGGACCAAGCAGGAGCGCCACCGAAGCCTGCCCGGAACTGACCCTTCATCAGCCGCGCTGCACTGACCAGGGCCAAACATTTAACTATAGACTGTAGCTCATGTTAACCTCTGTCACTAGAGCAAGCACTGCACCATCTGACACACAGTTATCTCACCTACCAATATCAAAATAATAAAATAAGATATAGTTTATTATAATTTGATATTTTGTTTGTCATTTCTTTGAAAGGACAACAGAAAAAAAAAGGTAGAGAAGAAAAAGAGGTCACACATCACTAGCAAACTGAGGCATGCAAATTGATTTGTTTAACTAGAAAAGTTAAATGCATTCAAATTCAATTTCAATTAAATTAAATGTTTAAAAATATTTAAGTATTATTTATTCATTTATTTACATAATTTTAAACAAACGATTCAATTTTGTGCTAACAAACCGAGGTATGCTGGCTGGTAAATGTAATGATAAAGCAGAAAATCACACTGAAATTGAAATGTGCATTGTTATCACTTCACTATCATTTCACCAAATTTAAGTCCAGCAGCTGTCTGGTCTGCCCTTTGTACTCTGCGTAGCCCTACTTGACTCTGACGCAGCATATAACTGGGCTCTAAATGCTGATTTGGCCCAATTTCAGCCATTTGTGTAATGTGTGATGATAAATAGGCTGCGCTCACTGGTTCGGGCGTAGGACTCATGGCATGTTCTGGCAATTTCGGCTGCCAGCTCCATCTGGTGACCTGTCTTGTCGTCTGGTGCCCCGTCGGCTCCCAGCGCAATCATTCCTCCCGCAAAGCAAGTCAGGTGACCCATCTTATGTTCCAGAAGACCTCCCTTCCACTCTGCGATGTAGGTTAGACCACCACTGGACTTCCGGATCAGGTTTGTCTCAATGGCCTGGAGATGGGGGATAAAAAGAAACACTGTTAAAGTTAAGGAACCAATGCTGGTGCTCTGGTTAAAAGAACATCTTAGAAATCTGACATAACTCGTTTAAATTGGGCTAATTTGCTCAGTTGTTTTTTGTTATTTTAACCATAATTCTATTTTTTGTGTTCAAATGTACCAGTTCAGCCTGTCTTGCTGCAACAGAGGCTGGCATACGAGAAGAAACTCTTAACTCTTTTCAGATTAAGCAACTGACTAAGTAATGCTGCTTTACAACCTGTAACTTCACCAAGATTTACAAGTCTGTGGGTCCTCAGCATCGGTCATTCAGTACATTGTTGGGGCCCCGTAATATATTGTGTTTGTGCCTGTGTATGAAGGAGTGTCAGAGGAGAAAGGAAGTTGTTTATGCAGTGTGATTTGTTGTCCTTGCTCCAGCAGGAGGATATTTCCATCCAAGCGCCCTCTGAGTGATTGAGGCAGAATAGATTGGAATTTTCTGTCGTTTTATGATGCCTCTGAAAATACCTAGCACTGTCACACAGCTGTGACCATGAACTCTGCTGTGTGATCAGGCTCCATTCTATTTGGAGTCTGCTTATTGCCTGTGAGATCATCCTGCAGCCTTGAAAACACTTTTTCTGATGGACAAACAAGCACAAAGTCCTGCCCACACTGTATGACTAACTCCACTGAGGGTCAGGATGTCAGACACGGATAAAAAATGTCCAGTCGCCTACAGATGAGTTGGTTTGATCTAGTGCTGGATGATACATATCGTCTGTACCGGTATGCCAGTATTGGTGTGACACCGTGATATTAGCCTTCAATAATGAAAAATTACACTTTTTTGTTTGAAGACAGCTGATGTAAAATGAGAATAAATAGGAAATTAAAAGAAACCAAAACTCCAATTCTGGGAGGAAAGATTTCTTAATGCTATTGTAAGCTTTACTTAAAAGGACCCACATCCCACATTTTTCTTGCATTTTATATTTTCCTTGATGTCCACTTATTACATTTGTGTGGTTTTATAATAATAATGCACAATCATATCCATTTATAGAAGACTTCTCATACTGGTGGCAGCTCATGGTGCTTTACAGACAGCTGATAAAGCTTAACAGTAACATACAAACACTGGATATATTTCATTTTACCACGACCATTCTTTACATGACCTCTCTTTATAGTTAAACAGGCAGTTTTGTGACTGTGCCTTTAAGATTTATATAAGATAAATGAGCCAAAACACTCCCTAGAACTTCATTATAAATGGGTGGGGCTGAACTACTGTACACTGTGTGAATAAATGTAAATGAGTTTATTCTTGTGACACAGAAAGCTTATTTTTCATATATGGACTGTATGGACAGGGGAGTGAATATGTTTATACCTTCAACAACATTTACATACTACATCCAACTCAAAAATGTAAAGAATATGATCTAACCAATCTGCAAATTTGCCGATTTTTAATTTTGTTTGTAACAAACTACTATTCTGAGCAAGTAAACATATACATATGACGATACCTTGCATTGTTACTTTAAAACCAGTAATAAGTGTTTGGAGTGATTTAAATCGCATTCTTAATGTGAAATTATCACCGTGCATCCAACAATAAAGGCAGCATTGCCACTGTCGCCATTGTCTTGCTCACTCTTGGATGTAGATTTACATTAAGCTGCTTTGTGACACTGCCCTTTCTAAAAAGAGCTATAAGCATAAATCTTGACTTCATAAAGACTCTGAATGCATCACCAGCGAGAAGTTAAGTAGGAAAAGGTTAAGAAATGTACCAACTGAGAACTGAGAATCATTTCTCACATATCTCTATTGACAATCAGGCAGCAGAGCATTGTTAATCAAACTATTATTATTGATAAGTATAAAATCAAAATATAACTATAATCACCCAATATTATCATCCATCAAAATTCTTACCCCCTTAAAATCTGAATCAGTCATAAAGCCTTAATTTCAGTTAGCGTCTGCTTTTTTTCTACACAAACTATTTCAAACACGGATGCAGGCGCATTAGACCTTCTCCCCCTTTTCCAGTAAGGTCTTACTCCTTTTGTTGGCTTCTTCAATAAATCTGTTTCACTATTAAGACACGTCAACACTCAGAGCTCTAAATGGCCTTGATTCAGTCTGATGATTTTCTCTATTGGTGCTAATAAGTCAAGCAGCTAAAAATAGCGGACTCAAGGACCCATTTACAGACGCCTGAAATAAACGTGAGGAAATCAGGCCGTGAAAACCGAGGTCATATCTGAGGATGAGGGGTGTAAAGGGTTTGATGAAGAGACTTCTGTAAAGGCTGAAATGACCAGACCAGGCAGAGGACATGCAGCAGGACCTCTCTGACGACGGCCTACAATAATGTCTCTCTCCTTTGATGACCAGCTACTGGTTTGTGTGTATGAGAGAGAGAGAGAGAGAGAGAGAGAGAGAGAGAGAGAGAGAGAGAGAGAGAGAGAGAGAGAGAAGAAAAAAAAAGATACGGATGGAGAGAGAAAGAAAAAGAAAGAAAGAAAGAAACGAAAGAAGGATAAAGAAAGAAAAGATGAAGAAATAGAAAGAGAAAAAGCAAGGCAGACAAATAGAACGAGAAAAATTGGAATAGACCAAAGGACAGAAGGAGAGAGGGAAAGAGGATGAGTAAGAGGGGAGAAAGAGATAGATAAAGACAGAAAAAGAGCAAGAGAGGGCAGAGTTACAAAGAAAGACACAGCTGGAAAAAAGAAAGAAAAAGTGCAAGAACGATAAATGAAGAGTAAGAAAGGAACAGAGAAATTGACAGAAATAGAGAGCAAGCAAAAGAAAGGCAGAGAAAAAGGAAAGGAGAAAGGACGAAAAGACAGATGAAAGATACAGAAAAAGAACGAAAGAGATAAAGAAGCCTTTCTTTATTCTTTAGAGAGAGAGTGCTGGGGGAGAGGGAAAGAGAATAAGAAAGAAAAAGAGAAAGAGAGAGAGAGATAGAGAGAGAAGACCGATAAGGAGAGATAGAGAGAGACAGAGAGAGAGAGAGAGATAGAGAGAGAGAGAGAGAGAGAATGAGAGAGAGCGAGAGAGAGAACGAGAGAGAGCGAGAGAGAGAACGAGAGAGAGCGCGAGAGTGAGAGAGGGAGCGAGAGAGAGAAAGAGAGAGAGACTACACTGTGCTTCAAACCTTTGCTTTCTATTCTACTTTTTTGGCTTTCTACTTTGCCTTTTTATTATGATTTTTTTGTTACTTTCTTTGAAGGCTACCTATGATGGGACTTAACACATGCATAAGCATTGAATAACATTTATAAAGCAGTCCTTGAATATTAACAAGCTGTGTGGAACAAACAGAGCAGTCCAGATCTGCTCTTCTCTCCAGGGTTAAACAGCACGACGTCTAACGTCATCACTTCCCTCAGAGTGACACATTGTAATGTAGTAAACAAATCACATCTTACAACACATAACTAACATTTTCACTTCTTGTTTTGTGGTCAGCGTTGAACGCTGTGAGTTGCACACAGTGTACGACCAGTCCACGATGGGTGAGCAGTCAGACAGCTTTTACCTTCAGAGCATCGTAGTACAGTTTTTTGCCCTCTTCATCTCTCTTGTCGGACATTAGCCAGGCTTTGAGCAAGTACTCGTAGAAACTGTCTCCAAGACCTCCCACCGACACATGATCTGGAAAAGGAAAAAAAAAACAAACAAAAAAAAAACAACAGAATGTCAGGAAATATGTTGCTTAGGTGTGTGTGATACTGAGCTGAGTACTGCTAAAGTGAACCTGAAAGGGAACCAACTGCAAATGACTTTTGTATTCACAATGTGAATGTTGTGTATATCACAACAACTATAAAGAGGACTCCTTTCACACCAGTCACAGTGTGCGCAGTGCTTGCAAAGTGGGTAGTGGTCTCTGATAAATCTAACCTTCCAGGTAGCGAGAGGAACTACCAGACCCACCTGCTGCTCTCCTATTGGCTGTGCTGGAACGATTGGCCGATATACATCGCATAAAATTGGAAAAATGACCCTGCGCGTCTACCGCGGTGAGTTCTGCTTTCCGCCATGCTTTAATATGTCAGGGCTGCTGTCTTGTCGCAGATCATCGAGAGGCTTCATCCTGAGTAGAACCTTATAAATGATCCTTTGTCGTCTGTTTTCAGTTTCCCACTGAAATGCTGAAGACTGTGGCTGTGTGTACAGTGAGCCTTGAGGTCTTCACCATAAAGCAAAGCAAAAGCGGACTGGGGCTGTTTTGCTTTCACAATGCAGAAACCACTCAAAGAACAAAAAATACTACACTATACTAATATTTACTACAATATACTAAAATACTATATACTATACTAATATTTTTGGGGGCTGTGTAGAGGGGTCTGAAATCGTCTTGTGCATTTACATACGCACACAAAACCATGACTCAGTAGTCCACTTCAGACACTGAAACGGCACACAGTGTACGGATCAGTCCACGATGGGTGAGCAGTCAGACAGCTTTTACCTTCAGAGCATCGTAGTACAGTTTTTTGCCCTCTTCATCTCTCTTGTCGGACATTTCCTTTGTCGTCTTTGAAACGGCATAAGTGTGAAAACACCCTTACTGTGATATTGACAATACTGTGAATTCTATTTCACAGAAGGCTATAATATGCAAATTGATCCAGTGTGCAATGTACAGTGAAATAGTCTATATACAATCTCCAAAAGCAAAGCCATTTGAGCCCAAGCTTGTACTGTCTTTGACTGAACTTTCCTGGGCCCTGCCATTAGCTCTACTAATCACATTCTTATTAGGTGTAAAAACCAAAAAACTCTGTATATTAAAATGACAAAGAAACTAGAACTAGCATGATTGAATGATTGACACTTCAGCTGCAGTAAACCCAGAGAACAGTGTGCTGCGTTGGTTAAGTGTAAGAATTTAACCATCATTCAGTAAACAAAGAGCAGTGGTTGTGATATAATTAAGATTTGACACATTTATTACAGTGGTGTTATAAAATCTATTTATAACATGCTTTGAGTATTAGACATGTCACCAACTCAATGTCAGACATCATTATCCGGCCTATTTTAGCAGAAAATGCTGGATAGGATATCAGAAGGATAAAAGAATGAATGTGATCCGATTCTGTAACAAATCTATTCTGAAACAGCACTCACTCACACTGTGTGATGTGATGTTAGTGAGTGATGTTCTTTCTGTGTGGGAAATAGAGTGTTTGAGTAGTTTAAGCATGATAGCCTACTTTTCGATGCTCAGCTTACATGAAGCACTTCAGTTCTAGTTTAAAAATGTAACAGTTTTAAAGGAAGAAATATCGGACCAGTGTTGGACGAGTTTTCAATGTCCATATCAGTGAAGAAAAATCCACACCACCACAAGAATTAACCAATCTGTTTTAATATACCGCGGGGTACATCACAGTCGTAATGTGGATATTTGGTGCATTTTGTGCATCCCTACTTGACTACACCACGTGGGACTGTGTGGATGATGGAGCTCTATTCAATATCTTTGGAACGAGTTGGAGTGGAACAATGTTCTAACATCTAGTGTAAAGTCTTCCCAGAAAAGTAGAGGCTGTTACTGCAGCAAAGGGGGACAAACTCCCTATTAATACCCTTGATATTAAAAGAAATAAGTAGGTGTCCACAAACTTTTGGACATCACATTACGCCACGCTTTTTCAAAACCAACATTAAGCGTTAAGTTACAATTTTGGTACAATTCTAATAGGTAACTAAATTTAAAGGCAACTTCATCCACTGAGGCAGTACATCCAAGTTTGTAATAGACAAACTTAACATAACGGGTCATAACTGACACTGAAAGCCCATGTTTTGGCTTAAGATCCATCACAATAAATCAGCGAAGTGGGTCAAAGCCCCTTGGCTGATGGATGGTGCCTGTCTGTAAGGGTAAGATCAAAGCTAGAAGTGTCAACCTTAACCAGCAACTCGGTGAAATCTAGAAACATGCGTGTGGATGTAGTATATCCTCTTTGTACAGTACAACACGTTTATAAAGCAATAGAAAAGCTGTGATATTTTGGTGAATGCCCAACGACTGAGTAAGTGCTAACCACCAAGCGAAAGCTAATGACCAAAACTGAACAAAACTAGCTGTTTTTTCTGTCTGCTTGCCGTCCATCTGTTTGTTTGTTCATTCATTCACTCGTTCGACTGACCGTGCCAGCATTCCTGGGGTGCACATACAGCGATAAAGTAAATAAGAACGGCCACATAAAAGCTGGATAGTGTCTATAGTGAGCTACAGGAACAGCGCAGAGTTGTACAGTAGTCTACGCTCACCACCTTTATATGTAGAGCCTGTTTCACTCATGCTGTTGGGTTGAGTTTGGTGTACCATGCTGTGAGTGATAGAGGGACGTCAGTTATGCTCATTAGAATATTGGGACCACGTCCACACAGTTCTGGGATCAGCTTTTTTTTTTTAAGCAGTGTTTTTACTTCTCGTATAGTCTATTGTGTAATACACACACACTATAAAAGTATATGGTATATGTCTGTCCTGTGTACACTGCGTGTGAATGTATGTGGTCAGAAGGCCATAGCATTTCGTGCTGTCTACTTCACTCTGTGTGAGAGATGAGTATGTAGGCTCTGCAAGTGCTGAACGCTGAGTGTGTGTGTGTGTGTGTGTGTGTGTGTGTGTGTGTGTGTGTGTGTGCGCGTGTCATTCTGACTGTCATGCTCATAAATATATACACCTCATTAACCACTGGGCAGTGTTTATGCCACATAGATGTCAGAAGGAATCAGGGAACACGCTTCAATATGAGCCTTAAACGGCCCATGTTCTACATTTTCTTGTAATTTTCATTTGTATAACATTTGTGTGGGTTTTATGCACCGAAACAGTCACAATTAATTTTTTACATGACTATTTTCCATCCACTCTTTATCCTTCAGAATAAAGCAAGCTGTTTGTTACTGTGCCATTAAGACTGATATATGTAAACAATCTTTGCTCTTTTATAAATGTATAGAAGACACTGTTAAGTTCAGACGAAAAACAAAAACCTCATTCACTCTGGAGCCTCTAGAAGACTGCGCTGATCAATGTTTTTTTTTCTTTTTTTTTTCTTTTAAACCAGCAGTAAATGAGTTTTTACAAATCACTGAGAGCTTGATATCTTGATAAAATATTAACAGACACAATCCTGTCAATATTATATTGTCCTGTGGACCCTTGGGTGGTTCCTGACTTTTGAGGAAACAAAATATCTGTAGTACATTTCCATACAAGGAAATTTCAGTTCTCCATGACACGGACACTTTAAGAGGGAAAGAGGAAACGATCTACACTCAAAAGCCTCTTCTATACAGTTATTGATAAAGGAACAGAAAAACAAATACAATAGAATGGGCTAAGCATCCACCGAGTGAGAGAAAGAGAGAGAGAGAGAACATGCGCGAGAGAGAGAGAGAGAGAGACTCAGTGCTGTAACAGGCTGTCAGTAGGAACATGGCTACTGCTGTTAGCTCTCTGCGGCTGCTGAAGGACAAAGAGAGCCTCTCAGCACGCCCACACACACCACTCCGTTTAACACACTCAAGTGTCCACAGCAGCACCGTGAGCCACATGCTGAACATCTACTGGCTACTTCTCACCAACGCTCAAGGAAAACACCAGTCACCTCTGAAGGACGAGAGTGAGAGTGAGAGAGAGAGAGAGAGAGATAAACAAGTGAGAGAGAAGACAAGGAAAAAGATACAGTAGTATGCAATGTTTGGGTGCCCCTAGTTTAACATTTTGTTGATTTTCAAAGTAAAAATAAGTGAACACATCCTCTACAGAGAACACACTTCTGCACATTTTAAAGCACAATAACTGCGTATTAGCTGAATTTAATATATTGTGCAAAATGTATGGAACATTATGTTTGTTGTTTTTTAGTACATTAAACTCAGAGACTCAAACATAAAAATAAATGTGCACTAAAATTTGCAAAAAGAAAGATGCAAAGAAAGAAAGACAGAAAGACAGACAGAAAGAGGTACCTTCACTAAGACTGCTCCTACAGGCCACAGCTCTCCTTTTAGTCCACTTAAGTTAATGGCCTAACTGACCTGTATGAAATTCACCCCCTAAGGACAAAAACTGTGTGAAGCCAGAAGATAGCTGGCTATTTTTAATGCAGGACCACATTATGAGCCTCCTCTCCCTACGGCTAGCTGCCTTTTCATATTATTTTTGTTTATTTCAGCTGAACAAAAGAGCTGGCAAAGAGAGAGAGCAACAAAAGCTTACTCAGACAGAAAACTCTGCCATTTCATCAGAGCCTGATGCCTCGTCCTGCTCTGAGCTCGGAGCTTCACACCAGAGTTCTGCTTCAAGTCTGCCTGATGGCTCTGTGCTGGAGGCCACCAGCAGTGATCTGATGTCTCCTTTAGCTCCACAGCCTGAAGCTGCAGGCCTATGCTGATAAAACTGCTCTCAAGCTGATGCACCACAGCAGAAGAGCCCTTAGAGCAGGGCTGAGCAATACGGGCAAAAAATCGGATCTTAAATGTAAAGGGATTAGGGATTTGGAGACCCCACTGGTGTAAATGTGTAAATGCATGCAACATGCAGAAGAATATTTTGTAATGTTGGCTGTGCTTCGGACCCCTTCCATAAGCACCCACGTGTCAAACACAAGGCCCGCGGG